ATAAGCCTTCAGATTTACCGCTGAGCAACTGAGGCCTTTATATTAGTTTTTGTTTATTGATAGAGTTTCTTTCATTTTACCCGTGTTTATGTTTATATTATTTTCCCTGTTTAGCATTTTTGACTTAGGAAAAATCAAAGAAATGGTTGTTTATGTATCTGTTCATATACATGGAAAGAAGGTTTTAGATGTTCTTGCAAATGAGTAAAAAGTTGACTCTTTTTTTTTCATTCCAATCTGCGCTTTCAATTCCATTCACAGTTTTTGATACCTATCATCAAGTTAATACTACTATCACTCATAAAACTAAAAAACAAATTGTTTTTAACTCTCAAACCATCAATTATTTTCTGGTGAAATACAACTGTTAAAAAAGGTTTCAATTTTGCTATTGCACCGAATATTATTTCATAATTTGAATTCCAGATAGGATAAGAAGGTTTTCTAGAAAAAAAATAGCAATTAATGACACCCACGTCATCAAATAACTTTACATCTGCTCCTGTCATTTTCAGTTCTAAAAACATGCTGAAAAATTATGTTGATATTATTTCTGAAAGTATTAATAATCAAGATCCTTCCATTAAAATTCAGTGCAAACTTCCCCCAAACGTACACTTACCTAATCTCTCATCTCTATGTTTTTAGAAAGTAGTAAATTTTTACCAGTTCGCGCTCTTTACTCATAAATTTCCCGCCACCTTGACAAATCTAGAACGCCGAAGTTAAACCCTAATCAAGAAGAATCAAAAATAGTGAAACTCTTGAAAAAAGACAGTAGTATAATTTTACAACATATAATTAGGTTAAGGCAGTTGTTATATTATTGTTTGTTTGGAGCATCACCAAAACAATGAACGCATTTCTAGATGGTTCCACTTATTTTCTCTAATTAATAACTAGCTTAAGCTCATCCAGAGTCTGAGAAATCAAATTAAAAGACTTTCTTTTACAGTTACGTAGAACTTCTCTCAACCTTCGAATGATTTATGTAATATTCTCCGATCCTTCGATTTATGTACCCTTCAAATTTGAGGACTCCCTAATATTCACAAACACAGTATTCCTTTACGACCCGTTGTTGCAGCCTGTAAAACTTACAACTATAATATGGGATATTTCTTTGTTCGGGTGTTTTCTGCTCATGTTTCTCGTGATCCTCCTTCATAAAAATTCTGAGATGTTCGGCAAAAAAAGTTTGATATTCCAATCCTTTCTATCACCTAGTGACCATTAATAAAAAAAATCTGTTTACTCAAGTTCCTGTTACTGAGTGCTGTTCTCGAATGTTACCAAAACTGTTCTAAACTTCGGTTTCACTTAAACATTAATACTCAAAAAAGTAAATAAATAAACCTTTCAACTTTGCCGTTAAATGTTATAGTTTCCAGTTGGATGGGGTCAATTATCATCAAGTTGAAGGCCTAAGTATTGGAAATCCTGTAGTTCCAAAGCTTACCGATATATTTACGATTACGACTGAAGATACTACCATTTCAAATTCTCTTTACAAACCAGTATTGTAGTTAAGAAATGTAGATGACATTTTTAAAACCTGCAATGACCTTTATGCTATTGATGAGGTTTCTTCAATCTAAACCAAATTCATCAAATATAAAAATCCCAACAGAAAAGAAATTAACGACAAACTGCCGTTCTAAAATGTTTTTGTTGAAAAGAAAAACACTGGCTTCCAAATTTTCGTATTTCATACAAACACCCACAGGTATTTATATTCATTAGAATTCATTTTGTGACCAGAGCCAACAATTGGGAATATTAAGTACTATGGTCTGTGAAAACAAAAACTTACATTACAACCTCGTATGTCTTAAACTGAATATGACAACCTTGTGTTTCAATACAAAATGTTTTTCCTTCTAATGTTGTTAATCAAGTAATTGCATTTTATAATAATTAATCACAAACTTATAGAAAAAAAGAAAGTTTTAAAGCTAAACCAAAATATTGTATCACACCTTTGATATAAAACTGTGTATGGAGTTGGATGTACAGATCGTTAAAGCTCATTTATTAAAGAAACAAACTCACAGCTTTTCAATTGTGTGCAAAAACATTTAAAAACTCCTTCCCATATATATTAACACATGTCTAAACATAACCATTCCTTTGATTTTTCGAAAGTCAGAATTCTGAACAGAGAAAATAATATAAACAAAGATAAAATAAAAGAAGCTCTATCAATAAACACAGTAGTTAAGAATCTAATTTTTTCAAACAATTTTACGGATTTACAGATCAAATATTTGTTTGTTATTTCACGACCTTTTACACACGAAATAATCGGAATAGAAATAAATTTAAACAAAAGTAATCATAAAAAGTGATGCATCAAACTAGTACAACAAACAACAATATTTAAACAATATGTTTGTTCTAATATAACAATAAACTTTAAGGCAATATTGTTAAATTTATTTCTAGAAATAATATTTTTTGTTATGTATAATGAAATTAATTATACAAAATATAAATTTCCCCCGAAGGTGAAGCCTAAGTATGGAATTACTTGTCAAGAAATCGAAAGGGAATAATTGCAATAGATACAATCGAACACCTTTATATTTTTTTAAAATCAAGGTTTCATTTATCTATTTTAGCAAGAACTGAGTGTACTAGTTAAACACAACTATTTTCAAAATTATACAGTAGTGCCATCTACAGAAATATTTTAGAATAAAAACTGTACATTTTTGGAAATGGATATTTGTTCTTCTATTATCATTATTTTTTCGATCAGTTGATTTGACATACAACCTTTCTTAGACGTTGACAGCACTGCCGCGGGTTTCCCCTTCACAGTATCATTAGTCAAAGCTATTAAAATAAATTTAAAATTGAACTTTTTGTTATTTTGAAAAAGTTCCAGATGATTGGGGAATGTTTAATCATATTTTACTAAACTTGGATATTCTAACCTAATTACCATGGTGTACTCAGTTAGTAATATCCGATTAATATTTGAAAACAGTAGCTAAATTACAAGGTGTCAAAATTATTTGAAGTAACGTGATAGAGTTCTTTGATTTTGTTTAATATTTGATATTTAAATTAAACAACTTCACACAGTCTTTTAAAAAAATGCATCTGTTATTTAAAGATACACCTTAATGTAACTGAGGTCGTCGAGTTCTCGATATTTTTGATCCCATAATAACACAATTAATCAGTATTGTTTTTTGCTCATACTCAAATTATTAATCATATTATTATGGTTTGTTTGTTTTGAATTTCGCGCAAAGCTACACGAGGGCTATCTGCGCTAGCCGTCTCTAATTTAGCAGTGTAATAATAGAGGGAAGGCAGCTAGTCATCACCACCCACCGCCAACTCTTGGGCTACTCTTTTACCAACGAATAGTGGGATTGACCATCATATTATAACGCCCCCACGGAGATTGGGAGTCGAGCGCCCTAACCACCTGGCCATGCCGGGCCTTATTATTATGGTGTTCACTTAGTTCCCCAGTGGTACAGCGGTATGTCTGCGGATTTACAATCCTAAAAACCTGCTTTCGATACCCGTGGTGGGCAGAGCACAAATAGCCCATTGTGTAGCTTTGTGCTTAATTCCAAAGAAACAAACAAACATTGTTCATTTAGACTGAGTTGTGAAAATGAAGTTTTCTGAAGTATCAACATCTTGTATTTTCTTGGCCTTGTGATAGAGCTATAGATTTTGGAGCTGACGAACTACGCTAGAATTTGTACGATACGTTATAAAAGTGACAATCAATCTCTTAGCATGAATGGTAGGTGGTAGGATGTTGCTGACCTTCCTACTGATCAGTAGTTCAAAATTAGTAACGGCGACAGATAGATGTAGTAGCTTTGTTAGAAATGCAGAATACAAATACTGTCCTCCGCACATGTTTTACAGTGTGTATTTTAGTTTTGTGTGAAAATTGTTTATATTTTAACCGAAATTAAATATCTAATATATTTTACTAGATATTTTGCGCCATGTTCCTTCTCAGTGTGTGTATTTTTCTTAGAGCAAAACCACATAGAACTATATGCTGTGTCCATCGAGGGGACTCAAACCCCTGATTTTAGCGTAATAAATCTGTAGACTTACCGCTGTCCCTTCCTAGACTTACTTCCAAGAGTCCGGCAAAATATACGTCTGTGGAGTACAACAATATATTTTCTTTTACGACTTTAGAAGTTCCTTGCTTAGCAAAAGAAAAAAGTTAAAAATAAAAGACTACCTAAAATATTATTATTGGAAGTAAAATAACACAAACAAAAAATTAATAACCTAAGAAATAATATTTTTGATATCAGATATTTCACCGTGACGATTTTGTCGGGATTCAAATAACACAACACTTCGATTTTTAGTTTCGCTCTAAGTCGCTCTAATGTAGCTTGCACTGATCAGAAGTTAATATTAATAATTCATCACAAAATTCTTTCGTCAACATTATGTAGACGGAATGCTGCAACTCTTCGGAATTGTTGCACGACACAAGCAAATTATCCAAAATTCTGGTTTGCATTGCAAAATTGAGTTAATATCATGATAAAGTAAAACAGAAAAACAAATACTATATAAAACAATTCTATTTATACACGATATTCAGCAACGAACAGCGAATATGAAAGTGCTTTCTGTAATTCTACGTCTGTTTTGTTTGTTTTAATTAATCACGAGTGTCATGTTAAAGTTTTTTCTGCTGTCCTTAAAGAATTATGTAAAATATTATTAACATCGTGCTGACCTCTAGTATCAACATATTTTACTAATAAACTTACACTTCACCTTCACTTTAAACTACAAATAGTTCCGTAGTTATAGCACTCATTATACTTCATAATATTGTCTAAATGGATTTCTTGAAATATTAATGGAATAAATACATAACTCAAATGTATATGCCTGACATTACATTTTTATTGTAGTGAGGAAACCTTTGTTTAACTTAAACAATATGGCGCAGTGATACATGACGTAATCTAAAAGTATGAATAGTACAACTTCACGAGCCAACGGCGGCTGTTGTTATCGTAATAGATGTTTACTGTTGGCAGTGTTAATATTGGTATGTACGAGACTGATAGTAATAATTATATAGGTTTAGCATAATTTCTTTTAGACATGAAATGTAAAAAGTGAGGGTAGAACAAATAATATGGAGCCACACGATGATGAACTGGAAAACGACGCTACTCGTTTCATGAAAGATTTGAGTTTATTTGAAGTGCCTTCCAATGATTATTTTGATTTTTCTTCTACCGTACCGAAGAAGTCGGATACATCGGCAAATGAGGAGTTTGAAAAAAAAAGAGAAATATACGCAAATCTGGACGTATTTAGTCGTCCTCATCTGTCGTGCCAGACTGCGACAGGAGAAAAACTTGTAGAATCTACTTATGGGAAAATATTATCTCAAGCAGTTGACGCAAAACCTCAGGTTGGATCCCAGAATGGGACAGGAGGATCTCTGTACCGTGGCCTTGGACCCGTAAAGTCGGGGGCAACCTCCTGCACATCTGCCGTTGAAAAGCCTGTTTATGGCGCGGGAGTCACAGAGACGCTAGGGAGTCCTTCAAAAAGGTTTGTGCCTCCTCAGGGGCAAGGGGTTACTAGTAACAAGTCAGGAGGGCCACGATGTCTAGGTGCTATAGAAAGTTTTGCTGTTGGATCAAGCACAAAGGTAAAAGAACCTCCTGTATATACCAAAATTGATCGTGCTAGTGTAATAGCAGCATCCCGAACAGCTACACCCAAACAACCAATTCCAACAACTGTTGTGGGTGGCCAAACAACTGAAAATGGAACTTCAGGCATTGTTATTTCAAGTGGATATTCCCAGGGTTCTCGAGCATTACCTGCAGTTCCAGGATCCATTGGGGTCGCTGGTGAGCTTCCTTCTGCCAAGGTACACTCGCAAATAACACCAGCTGTTAGAGGACCAGACTCAACGCATTCAAGTCCATGCAGTAGCCTTAGTTCTTCTAGTAGAGAGTCACAACATTCCAATTCTCCACGTGCAAGTTTTGCAAGCCCCATCTATGAAAATGTGCAAAATTTGCATGTGAACCAATCTGTGATTTCTTCATATGGTGATTCCTTATCAACTGGAGGAGGTGAAATACCACATCAAAATATGCAGACATCCAGAAGTCTGGTCACTCAGTTATCACCCAAGAATTCCACATCTTTAACAAGTGTATTGCATTCAAAGCCAGCAACAGTGGAAACTTCACTGTTAGGTGGATATACACATTCCAGTGCTGGAGACTATCCAATATATGCTAATTTACAGAAAATTAGAGATGAAGGTCATTTTTCTGGTAGTGGAATTAACAGAAATAATGGTTCCAATTTATTAAAGTCTGAAAAGTTATTGAGAGATATTGAAGCTTTGGACTCCCACAGAGTTGAAGCAAAATCGGACTCATTTAATCTGAGCCAAATTCATTCGATTATGGCACCTAAAGCAGCATCTTATACTTTGGCTTCCTCCTTTGCAACAAATCGTAATTTTCCACCTCCTGAATATGGGACTGTCCTTTCTCAGTTTCCTGCTGGTACACCTGAGACTTATTCTAATGTTAAGAGTGTTTTATTGGGCACAAGTACCAGTCACATCTCTGCACCATCTATGTCTCAGTCAACAAGTCTGAATACCTCACACTTACCAATGAGTTCTCAAGTGTTGAGGAACCTAGAACGTGCTCCACCACCTTATGCGAGTTCTGCTGGAGCTCCATTGGATACACAAAGTTCTATTCCACCAAAGTCAATCTTGTGTGGTTCTGGCCCTGGTAATGCAACAGTAGCCTCAGATTACTCTAGAAATCCTAGAGTATCTTTGAACTATCCTTCTCCCTACCTGAATACCCCACCAGAACCAGCTCCTCTTCCATCGCAGCATGACCTTTCACCCCCACCTCCTGCTCCACCTCCTGGACGGTCAACACAGAGCCTAGGACTTAACTCTCAATCAGAACCATCTAGAATGGCACAGCAACCACCACAGGTAGCCCCAATGGCACATCACACAATTAGTCGTAATGATCTTCCCCCACCCCCTCCTTATCCTGGAATAGGGCATAGGCCTAACACACTTAATGCAAAAACATTTTTACCATACAATGTGACTCCCCCACGACCAAAAGGCCCCACTGAAGCAGAAAAGAAACTTGAAGCCTTGACAAAACAACTTGAAGATGAAATGGAAAATAACCCAGAAGGAGAATTCTTTGGTAAGTTTCCTTTTTACTGATAACATTGTACTTGAAAGAATTTGACAGTGATCTTTCAGTCAAGGTACACGTCAATTTAGATAGATTTCAGAATATGAGTACTAAGTAAGTACCATGTTGAAAATCCTTGTGTATAATTAGTATAAGTGTTAATAATTTTCAGAATAATTATCAACTTTTTACTAAATCCTCTAAGTCTTTAAGGGTGTTTATAGGTTATGATAAACAGGAATGAGAATATAAACAACTTATTTGAGCGTGCCAGTTGTACATTAATAATGTTTTCATTTTGTATATACCAAATATAATAGACAGAAAATACAAAGTATGGTCAACTTATTAAGTTCGTTATTGAATTTGTTTTTGTACATTGACAATACTGAATCCAGAAGTTTTATCAAGTGCATGTGACACCTCATTTTGCTATGAAAGATGTGAATGTGCATTAAACTTTGTGCATTTGTGTACTTGTACAGTGTTCAGATCTTTTGAAATAGCTTTCATTTTTATGTCACGATCTGTTAACTTAAGAAACTGAAAATGGTTGAAACTTTTATTGTTTTGATATATCATTGGCCTGACATTCAGTACATTAACTTTTACACTTACAATCTTATCAGTAGTCTGAAATCTTTCAGGAAGAAATTTGTGTTTATAATTATCTTAAGGGATTTAATGTTTCTTCTGTACATTTGGTAATATTCCAAAATGATCTATCTCAGCAAGGAGTTTATTAATTAAGTACTTGGACATTTATCACAAGGACAAAAAAAAAGATGATTAAATGAAGTCTTGTATTCTTTTAAAGTGAATCAAGTCTAAGGAAACTTAGTTATTAGGATGCATCACTGAACTTTCACATTAATTTACCAAGATATCAAACAGATATATACATGTATGGCTAATAACAGAGAAGGATATCGTGGGTAAAATCTGATGTCCTGGTGGTGAGTATGTATCCAAATATTATGCTGATTTAGCAAAAACAATGAATGTTTGGTTATGACCTTCTATGCTGTGGAAGAAACTGGGGGGTGAAATTCAGTCTAACACCCCTGCATGGTTCAAGCCCGTCTAATGATTTTACACAATATGTGGAGAACAAGGACCTGTTTGCTTCTTCATGGTTGTCTATGCGAATTTACCCATGAGAAAAAAGAAAATTTAAACCCACCTTTCATTTCTCAGGAAATAACTGATTCCTTTCTTAAGTTTTTGTTCAGTATTTATTGGCCTCCACAATTCTGATAGCTTATTCTTTAAGTTAATTACTGTATTGGAGGGGACTCTCTTAACTGGATTATAGCCTGTCTTTTTACAGAACTTAAACTTGTGTCAGCTCATTTTATTGTCTTCATAATACAACACAAACAAATCACAGGCCTTTATCCTGTCAGTCCTTAAGCTATTCCCCAAAATAACCCTTCCACCACTGGAATCATCCTAGTAGCTCTCCTCTGATCCTTTTCCAAATAAGTCATTATACTTTCTTATGTATATCTCTAGTGGTTGTTTTAAGTAGTGTAACTGTAATGTGTTGAAACACTCACGTGATAAGTAATATTTAATTGTTATAAAGCACTAGTCCAAAATGTAGCCATGATAAATTGTACTTATAAATTTTCTTCTAATGCAGAAACTGTAGGCACATTATAACCTACCTTAGTTGTTAATCAAGAATTAAGATAGAGTATAGAATTTAGAATAAAGAGAATCAACAGATAAAACATTCATATCCTGACAACATATTGCAGATTTCGTTAATCATTAGCCGTCTGTCATTTCAACTTTTTCCATGTAGGAGAGTATTTGTTGGTGAAAAATCACAGTAAGACCATTAATTAAAATGCAATTCCAAACATTTACTATATCCCAGAAAATTATTTCACGTGTACTACATTTTACTAAACTGCTACGAGCAAAAAAATCTATTATTCTATATTGTGTTTCACTTAAACATGTCGTATGTAAAAATGTCTAAAAATTTACCAGTGAAAACAAAGATTAATATGTCAACCACACTACATCAACCATACCAGTGTCAATGAGGCTTTTCCCCCAATACCAGGGCTCATTAGACCAGCTGGAATATGAAAAATCATAATTAGGATAGGGATTAATAAAACAATATTATTTATTTTATTTTTAAGATTAAAATATGTAATATTATGTATGTAATTTGCTGATATCATGAGAGGACATATTTCACATATATATATATATATATATATATATTATATATTGTTCAAAAGAGTTCAGGAGTAATCAGTTTTATATAGTCTAATACAATTTGCAAGAATTATGGCTTTCTCATGAATAACCCTACTACATCACATACCATACCCTTGATCTGTAATAAAACTTCAAAGATCTATTAGTTTATTTGAAATCAGAAAAAAGATAAATTAACACAGCACATTCTATAGGCAGTAAGTGGTGTGACTGTTCTAGATGTGTTACTTGCAGTTATATTGATTCTAGAACTGGGCTCAAGTTATCCTTTTGGATACAACATGACCTGCATTATTTATTGTATATTTTGCTCTAAATCTAACAAGTTGCACATTGGTGAAACTTCACATAGATAGAGATTGATTAAAGAAAATAGTAACCTTGACCTTTCTGTCTGTAGACATTTCAGCACTACTGAACATAACTGACTTGTCAATACTTGTACCAAGATACTTACCACTAGGCAGGATGTAAAGAGATTATGTTGATCATAAATTGATTTTTAAGTTTGGAATTAAACAACCTAGTTTAAAAAATTAAAGATTTTACTTTCTGTATTTTAACATATTTTATTGTTTTTGAGTTTTGCATGTTTCTTTTTCAAATTGTAAGTAAATGAAATAATTCAAATTCTAAATGAGCATTGCTTTATCCTGTGTGTTTTAATTAATTTACAGATAATGAATTTATTACTAATTTGTTTAAGTAACAATAGACACATATTCTATTATTTTCAAGTAAATTAACTTCTTTTTTTTTTTTTTTTTTTTGTCTTTGTAATAATTTAACTTTTTTTTTTAACCCACAATTTTTTGCATGTTCTACCATAATTTTTATCATGATATCCTAATAACTATCACCATACCTTATAACATTTCCAGACTGTTTATAAAAGGTGGACAATAACATGGTTTGGATTAGTTTTCAGCCAAAGAGACATAAATGTTATCAGATGCTGTCACTGTCCAATGGGTAAATTGGGATTTTTGGCTGGATGCTGGTAGCATACATTTAGGTTTAAGGAGTTGAAATAACCTACCAGCTCTAATGGATTTCATAATTATAAATTATTTTATCTTGCCTTGTTTTTATCCCATTGTTTAGTGCTAAGTCTGGTAGGTGTACATGCATTCTTTAGAAGCTTCTGGTCAGATATTTGTAAAGTCTGATGAAGAGCAGTTGCATGAAACATCACAAAAATAAATTTACTTTTAGTGTAATTTGACAATTTTGTTGTTTAAAAATTACATTGTGACTATTTATATTGTAGCTATGATAATCATGTAATCTAACATGCAAATGTATATTGTTGGAGTCCATGATATCCACAGATACTCATTTGATATTACAGACTTTTCATCTCGGTAAATGTTACTAAGGCATGTAACACCTCATACAGTAATGTAAGTCATATCTTGATGTGGCGTGTCTAAAATGAGTGAATGAATGGGCTGCGAGATAATATTACCAACTGCTCCATCAGTCATACTTCTAGAATAGTCAATATATTCAATTACCTTTGAGCATCATGACCTTTGTACTCTGTTGCTGCTTGACGTAGGTTGCATATGGAGGATATGAAATAAAATAATTTATTTTCAGGTTTTATATATACACTTGAATAACCAAAAAATCATAAATTACTACATTGATACCATAGAATTCCACCATACTTTATCAAGCTTAGTAACTAAGCTATATTTGTGTATAAAAAAAATATGAAATTTCATGCAGAATAAAGACACAACCTATCTTCTTGAAATCTTGGTTCGAAAGAACGAGATGGCATCCTAACACGTGAAAGTGTCTGAAAAAGCCACTGGTGAGACATTCTGAGCTTTTGATTGGTTATTCACATTTCATATATTGAGTGTATATAAGAGACTGTTTCCAAAAATGGAAAGAGATTAGTGGGGCCACTGTGTTTGATTACGTACATGAGTGATATCTCAGCAAATACAAAAGATATGAGGTTCTTATTTTATATTCTAGCTTGTCAATATTGGTAATTTGAATTTCTAATTTGTACAAAACTATAGACTTAGTATTTTGACATCACAAAGATTTTAGTAAATGTTAAAAGTCTTTTGTACAAAAAAAAAGTCAGATTTCTTAAAATTATTTTCATAAAGATTTGTCTGTAAAGATTAAAAACACTTTTCTTCCTCTTAGTTTCAACTTTTGTTTGCATAATCTTTTAGAACTTCTTAAATGAATATCAAAAGATTTTTTCAATAAAACTATATATATATTTCTGTTATTTCTCTACCTTAATACTATACAGGCTTGACCCACTTGCCCAACATTTTAACCACCACAAAAAATTATCAAATAAATCCTTTTTTCTTTTGAGAATGATTACAGATGGTAAGAGAAAGTTGTAATTATTTATCCTAAATAGCTTCAGACTAGTAACAATTTACATCTATTTTAATTTAATTTTATTGTTTTATCGCTCTTTTAATCATTTTTTACTACTAATCCTGTGTAAAAAAAAAAGGGAAAAAACACTTGATGTTGCATAGCCAGGGTTCATGCAACCTGGTAAAGTGGTTTTTAAATTTGTGTTGAAAGTTATTCAGAAGAAAGTTTTAAATTAAAAAATACAATAATAATTACTTAATGTTTCAAATTGCATGTGTGTGTGTGTATATATATATATATATATATATATATATATATATA